TCTGGGAAACGGCTCCTGCCAGGCCATTCCCAGCCGGCGCATGATCAGTCTCCGGCTCCACAGTGCTTCCTCAGCACTGATGGAGATCTCTGATTTGTTTGGGTGGAACTCGGTTTCATACCTGTCCCCTCAACACCTTTCAAACCGAAAAGAAAAAAAGAAAATGGTCCCTTTATCGCCTTTTCCTGTTGCTGTCTGCTGAAGAAGGACTTCTGTGTTCCCAAGGGGACTCTGAAAAACGTGCTTTACGTTTTTAGTTCTTTTTTGAACCAGTGACTCGATTTAGCTCTCCTCTGCAACCGCCAGTTGCTTTTCTGATCGTGGTAGGTGGCTGTACAAACTTAGATGCGGTGATGGCTGGAGAACCAAAAGGATTAGGTTAAGATTGTTGAATCACTTCTGTCTGAGTGGTTAATGAGCAGTTTCAGTGTAAGTGTTCCATGTTAAATGTAACTTGTGCAAAATAATTGAACGAATAACAGAATAGTGCAAGAAAACTAGTTTTAAAAACCTGTATTGGTGGCCTTTGTAGCAAGGCTACATGTAACTAGATAAATGGAGAACACTTAATTTTATTAACTTGGGTGGGGTAGGCAAGTAGGGAACTCCTTGGCTAAATTTTGTTTTGGAATTAAAATATTTGCTTGTCTGCAGATAGCTGTCACGCAGTCTGCCACCCTACGTATTGTTTTCCTCCTTTCCTTCTTGTCCACAATAATTTACAGCTCTACTAAATAAGCATGTGGTTTTTATTTGTCTTTACTTTTAAAGTGTTGTACAACACTGAAATTGTCAGTGCTTCCTTTTTTTAGAGCAAGGGTGATTGTGTGTGTTGGGTTTTTTGGGGGATTTTTTGGTGACCTTTTAGTAGCTTATAAGGTAAAAAGTGGTAATGGCAGACTAGAGGGAGAGCTATTTCTCAGACGTACCCAAAATAAATGCAAAACTTTTTTTTCCTGGCACTTTTATTTCTAGAGAAACCTAACCAAAGGATGGTACAACTACATCTGTGTTTCAGTATCAACATGGAATTTATAATGAACTGTTATTTTTCTCTGTCTTCTTTCAGGTTGTATGGAGCTCTGTTTGTTGCCTCAATTTTAGTAAAGCCTTTTCCATTAAGTTAAAAATAGGGAGTAGTAAAAAAATAGGGAGTGTAGTAAAAAAAAAAAAAGACACTAGCAGTTCTTGTTTTGCTTTTGAGTGCTCAAACAAACCGTCAGTTTCCTTAAATTGAAAATATGTGAAAAAAATTGCAGAGGGTCAAATGAGGTATTTGGATTTCAAGCTGTATTTCATTTTGTGTCAATTTAGTAATAAATCATGAGAAACAGATCTTTCCCCTCCTTAGGACTGGAATTTTACATAAATGTTTCACAATGAATAAAAACTTCCCAGCAAAAAGGCTTGTAAGAATTCCTTAAGTTTTTTTTTTTTTAATAATGTTCATTCTCCTTGGTGTTTTGTTTTTGTTTTCATTCTCTACAGAGCAGACAGTATGTTGGCCTGGTACAGTGTAACCCACTTAATCCCTCAGGGATGGGCTTTGGTCACATAGTTAATATTGGGAAGAATAAGAATGCACAATGTAGCCTGACCAGTAGAGGCTGCTATTGCTAAGAGTGCCTGGAGGAAAAGGGAAACTAATGCAAGGGAGAAAGACGAGCACATATGAGCAGAAATAATTGCTTGATAAGTTATTGGAAGACTGGAGGCAGTAACAGAGAAGTAGGTTGCAAGGAGAATGTCAGTTAACTCATGAATTGTTAGAAATGTTGGACCAAGAGCAGCAGCACCTAAGGGTGTTTTGAAGTTGGCTGAAAGTAATAGAATATTTAAGTTGGGAGATGCTCAACTGTGAGCTGCTGAGAAATGTCAACTCTTATTAAATCAGAATAAATAATAGTTTTCTCATTCTACTTGAACACGGGGAATGAGATGGAAAGTGAAGGCCAGGTCTTTGCAAGATTAAACTAGCAGAGGTATAAATGCAGGTATTTCTCCTGACAAGTTTTGCCAATTGAGTTTGTGGCTAGATGTAAGTTAGAATAAATGAAGTGATTCTGGCAGTAGATGCTGGGATGATTTCATGATCGGGGGTTATGCGGACTTCAGGAGTCTTTCCCTTGGCTGCTGCTTCTTTCATAGTCCTGAGTCATGCTAGGCAACTGTTTGAACTAGAGTCCTGAACTAGGTAGGAGTTAAAAATAACCTTACAAAGAAACCTCCATATACAACTTTTTCGTATACAAACGAGTGGCAACAGCTGTATGTTGGTTCAGTTTGGGTTGTGTTTATATTACAAACTATTATGAATAAACTCTAGTGATATTCTAGTGTTAAAGCGTGTCTAGGCTGCTTACAACTAGAGGCAATTTTCAGATAACCTGTCATCAAATTATTAAAGATCTATCCAACAGAAAACACAAACTACCTTCACAGTGCAATGGTGAAATCATAGATAAAGGAAGGAGGATTTGCAAGATGATTAGGATGTCAGTAGGTCAAGCCATATGATTGAAGGGCTTCCAGAGAAATAGGCAGCTCGCAAGCGGCCGTCAATAAAGGGATGTTGCTGATCCACAGCTCTTACGTTGGTAACCCGTGGTGGGGAAGGACAGTTTGGAGGCTGATTAATGTCCGAGCTTGCAATGCATTCAAAAGTACAAAGCATGTAGCATCTTGACTTCGTATCTGTATGTTTCCCTTTGAATTGAGAGCAAAATGTTTCAAGGTCAAACAGGCTTGTGGCCTCTTATGCACTAAAAAATTGTTCTTATGCCTCTTAATTGGCTAAGGTGTAAACCAGTACCTTCTAAACAGAAGAACAAGGATTGGCTAAGCAGAGAAAAGGGAGAAAATTTGCTTCTGTTCTTTCTTTTCAGATTTCTGGAAACTTGCAATTCTGCTGTAGGTGACAAGTATAACTACTCTGTAGTGATTGAGGGCTGAGAGATGTAAAAACTCCACAGACAGTAAGTGTTGAAAACTACTTTACACAGTTCTGGATTCTGCCCCTGCTGCTGCAATTCTGACAGTTCTTGGAACTTTTTTTCAGACATTTTATACAGAGAAGCAATTTATGTAACTTTTTGATGAGCCACGGCAACTAACAAACCACAGGAAACAACTTTTTTTCTATGCTAGCCTGATCAATATTGTCAAATGCTTTGTTAGTGTTAAGAAAAAAAAAATTACTAATGAGGGAGTAAGTTTACATTATGTTATTGAAAGGCCAGTGTTTTTGTCAGACAAAATACTTCAAGTGTTTGTGTGCCTTTTTGAACTATTAATGTCTGATGCCTGTGGTTTAACAAAATAAGATGGCTTAGCAAAGAAAATTGTGAATAAGCTTCAAAGCTGAAATAGATGTGTTGTAGATGTGTAAATTTGAGGATAGGAAGTTATGAAACAACTTATTGTTATGCTAGTTATGGAACTGCTAATTCTGCTTGTCAGTAACTTTGAGAGAGTTTTTTCTAAAATAAATCTTTAACAAAGCCCCTTTTTTTAAGACGTCTGCTGAAAGCATATTAGGGTGTAAATGTGATTAGTTGGAACAGACTTGAGTCTGCCTAACTCTGGATTTTTTTTCCTTCTCCAAGTCAAATGGGTGCTCTTTAACAATTTTAGTTAAAGCACAGTGTACCACGTATCTTCAAGGAAACATCTGGGTTTAGTCTTGATTTCATATAGCAGGGGTTCATCAGTGACCACTGGCTGAAAATGGTGATTGGAATAAATTTTCTTGCCTGTTTCCAAGTTAGAAAGTAGATACAAGTGGAAAAGCAACAGCCTGGAAATTTGAAGTGTTCCTTACATCTGTTTCTTCAAGAATACTGAAGGAATTCAGTGGTGCTATTGCAATGGATTCAGTTTTTGGTGTCTTTTATTAAAAAAGGGGTGGTAGAGGTTAGATTTCAGTTGCTACATGGTTTGTTTTGGTTGGTTGGTTTGTTTTTTTTAATGGTGTCCTGCTGTGCCTGGTATCAGTATGGTAAAAGTGAAACTACAAATTGGTCCAATTGACTCGGTTTGCTTAATAGTTTAAGTGTGCTTGCTGACATCACAGGTACAACGCAATTACTGTGTTGGCTAACTATTTTTCCAGAGGCATAACTTCAGTTCAGCACCTGTCTTCAGCCTTCAGTACTCTGGTATAAGCAGGTTCTCCTTAATCTATTAAATGATTTTTATAGTAGAAAAAGACAAATTCCTAGACTAAGTTTGTGTGTTGCTGCTATGGTTTTCTAGACCAAGAATCTCACTTTTCTTTGAGTGCTGCCTCAGTACCTAAGTGTTAAAAGAGGTGACTGCACTCAAAATAAAAAGGCAGCTATGAAGGTGACAGTCATGGAATTAAGAAAATCTAGATGGATAAATTGGACAAAGCAGTGGTGTTTCTCTAAGCTTTGAGGGGCTGGGAATCAAGGATTTTGTAATGCACACTTTTTTTTTTTTAAAGTGGCTTAGCGTGTTGGTTTTAGTCTTGCCAGAAAATGTTTGGACTGCTAATGGAAATGTTTCAGACTGACTGTTTAAAAGGGAGATTCTGGGAGGCGACGATTAAATCACTATTTGTCTTATGGTATATGATCGTGTTAGAAATGGTACTTGGTATAAACCGTTCCCTGCTTTTAACAGGAATATTGAAGTCAGTGGTCTAAGAGCTTGAGTCCTTATAAGTTGGTGGAGGCAATTCAGAGATGGTTATCAAAATGGGCCAGAGTGCGGCTGCTTTTTATTTGCTCCCAGTTTCTTTGAATATTGAAATGATAGAGGAACATGAGGCAAAAATCTTCTCTTTACAGACTCCTCTGTGTACTAGGTGGAGGCTACTCTTACTGTGCTGCACAATTAGTTTAATGTAAGAAATAACTGGAACAAATAGTTATCTGTAATTCTGTGGCATCTTGCAGTTCCTGATGTTGGTTAAAAAAATCATGCACATTGGAAATTAAGTTTTTGTTTTGTTTTCAGATGCTGAATGATGATTTAAACTGAACTATTAAGGTAATAAATCTTCAGAAATATGATATCAGATGTTGACTGTTCCTCCCAAAAACATTGTCAAAAAGCACATTATACAGATAAGTTCAAAGTATGTAATAGGAGAAATAACATTAATTCTCCAGGCATCTTAAGGATTTTACTGTTATTTTATGTGTTGGAGTATTAAGGCTTCATAACTGAAGAAAAAAAAAATTACAAAAAATGAGCTTTTTAAAAATCTTATTTAAAGATGTGTAAGTGGAAGAAATGCAGCAGCCTACTATGCTGAAAACTACCATCCTGGTTCTGCAGATACTCTAAATCACATAATCAGTGGGGCTGCAGATGAGTCCCTTTATATAGTCAAAAAAACTGTGATTGTATAGTCTTTGCTGCTTCCAAACAAAAATGCTTCTTAATGCCTTTAAACATGCTGATTTGCTGTTTCAGATCCAGCTTGTAAGTATATACTTAAATGACTGAACATATATCCCATTTATTTTGGAATAAGAACTTTACAAAAACACTAACTGCTAGCTAAGCATGGCAGCTTCTACTGTGGAAGCTGAATGTCCTGAAGAGTGACGTTGCCTGCAATGTCACATTGAGATACTTGCTTATCAGTCCCAGGAAGACTGTTTCTGTAGCCTTTGTGTAGAAGGACCAGTTTGGTTCTAGTTGAAAAGACACTTTTAATGGTTTTGATGGCTGATCTACAATTGTTTGCCCAGTGAAAGTATTTTTATCGTCATCAGTCTCCTAGACCTTACTGTAGTGGTCCATGTAGTTGAAATTGTGCAAATCAACTTCTCAGGTTCTGGGTGCACAAAAGTACTAGATACTGTTAACAGAGTTTCCTTACTTGCATTTTGTTTAAAATGTGGCTTCATGGAGAATTTCATGATAACAACTGCAGTTCTTCAAACTGTAGAAGCTAAAGAAACAAGTGTATAGTACCAGTCAGAACTACGTAAGTCAGTTTTTTATTCACATTGTCTTCTAGGGAACTTGTGATTTCAGTAGGACAGGAGAAAAAAAATACTAATTGTAACGTGTTCCTACACTGAAGTGGAAGAACAGGGAAACATTCAGTACCCTCTGTTCTCATGAATGCATTATTTATTAAGAAGATGCTACTATCTAATGGTGTAACTCAAATAACTTACTCGTTAACCAGTAGTAGGAATTAGGGAGATAAGTGAAGACACTGAACCATTTTAAGTATTTCAGCATGAACGTGTAAATGATGTCCAAGTAGGCTGGTGACTCTAATAAGGCTTTTCACATACATAAAAAGGTATATGTTCATATCCTGAGCCATAGCAATTACCCTATAGCTCTGTGAAAGGTAAATGAACAATCCACTCGTAGCTCTTAAGCAGTTTTAACATTGTTGTGATACAAACCTGTAGAAATATTAAGGATTTATAAACATTGTTTTTAATTACACAGTAGGAATGAATAAAATTACTTGCTCTGAACAAATTTTTAATAGAAGCGGCCACTGTTCCTTATGTTTTGAAATTTCTTTGTGTTGAGGCTTCAGCTGTACATTGTGTCTAACAAATAAACATTCAAAGACAGAAAGTTAAAGACAAAAAAATTCCTGACATTTCTCGCTTCTAATGTAGGCCTTCATTCTAAGGCAGCACAGAGTCATATGACTCTCATGCCAGCTTGTATCAGGTATTAATTCCATAACCATACTCTGCCGGTGATGTATATGCCAGTAAGGCTAATTACAACTAGCAAGACCGCATTCCTTCCTTCAGAGAAGGAGACAGTCTAGGCAACTTATGACCCATTTCCATTTTAAATAGATGTTATTTTCAGAGAAGCCTGTTTTGGCTGAATTACCTTGAGCTCTTTTAGTAATAGTTAGGTGTAGGAACAGCAGTTTTCCTCATACATAAACTTAAGTTTGGGCTCTTTAAAATGAAACTTTACCCCCAAGCAATTAAAACACTTTTTTACAGTATTAGATGTATTACTGTAATGTAATTAGTATTACTGTAATGAGTGCAAACCGGGCTGGCACAAAACACTAATGAGCTAACTACTTTAAAAAAAAAAAAAATCCTTTAACACTAAAATCTGACAGTAAAAAAGTGTCATTGGTACCGCTAACGCACCATCCCTGTGCTGGCAGCTAGGCTCTTCACTAGCACTTCCAGGCTTTTTGACAGTTTTACCACGGGAAGTTGACACCTACTAACTGAACTGTCAGTGTAGGCTTGGCCTCAGTGTTTGGCATCTTGAGTACCATTTGAAGTAGCAACAGGGAATTTGCTTTTGTAGTAGTTGTAATAGTATTCCATTCATCATGGCTGTTCTGCAGAGTAAACTGTAAAATGCTGAATGTTTGTGTACCAATACCTACTCACCTGACTTTTAAAATAAAATTACAGCATTTGCATTTGTTTTGTAGATAACACTGTTCCCTGTGAGTTGATTTAAAATTCCTTGTCTCGTTGCAATTTTGGGTGAAGCGCAGCAGTTACTCCAGTGTAACAATAGTGTCCTGCTTTATTCCTAAAGCTTCCTCTTCACTTTTACACATTGAAAAAATAACTTTGCTAATGAAATACGGCACTGAAGTTCAAGGCATTTGCTCTATAAAACTCTCTCACTCTACTGTCTTCCATGGATCTTTTTCAGTGAACATAAGTGAATCGTTGCCCTCGTTGAAATGTGATGCAATACCGCTTTCTGCACAAAAGTTGGGGAGTTTGGGGGGCTTATGTGTTTCAGGTGACAAACCAGTAATTCACGCAGTGTACTGCTTAGACTGCCGTACAGGCTGCAGTCTGTGGCAGAGACACCTCTTAAACACGTGATATTCTTGAGTGGGTGTTCTTACTGTAAGTATCTACACTTCACCTGTTGAGCATAGTCCTCCTGCTTTTGTACATGAAACTTGATGTTGGTGAACTCTTAACACTTTCTAGATATTTATGTGCGTAAAACTCTGCTCACAGCTCTTTCCTTTTTAATGATCTTCTTAATCTTTACAGGTCTAGGAAACCAGGAGGATCTATTCCCATAACAATGGCAGCAAAATCCTCACTCCTTAAAGTAATACTGCTAGGAGATGGTGGAGTTGGGAAGAGTTCCCTTATGAACAGATACGTCACCAACAAGTTTGATGCACAGCTGTTTCATACAATAGGTGTGGAATTCTTAAATAAAGAGCTGGAAGTCGATGGACATTTTGTTACAATGCAGATATGGGACACAGCAGGTCAGGAACGTTTTAGGAGCTTGCGGACTCCTTTCTATAGAGGTTCTGACTGTTGCTTGCTAACCTTCAGCGTGGATGACTCTCAAAGCTTCCAAAACTTAAGCAACTGGAAGAAAGAATTCATTTATTATGCAGATGTCAAAGAGCCTGAAAGTTTTCCATTTGTGATACTGGGTAACAAAGTTGATATCGATGAAAGGCAAGTGTCTACAGAAGAAGCCCAAGACTGGTGCAGGAATAATGGCAACCATCCCTATTTTGAAACCAGTGCAAAAGACGCCACTAATGTTGCAGCAGCCTTTGAAGAAGCTGTTAGAAGAGTTCTAGCCTCTGAAGACAGATCAGATCACTTTATTCAAACAGATACAGTAAACCTTCATCGGAAACCGAAACCCAGTTCATCTTGTTGTTGACTTAAATTTTTTTTCGCCAAATTACTTTTGACTAGCTTGCTCTATAAAAGGATGGGGAAGGTGTAGTAGATAAAATAACAAATGGGTTTCACTCTAATATTGAAATTGTAATATTCTGCTGCTTTCTTGGGGGAGCAAAAGAAAAATTTCCATTCATGAGTGGCCCATTATTGAATTAGTGACACTTTCTGTTTAGGAAGGCGTCAAGTAAAAACATTAATATAAGAATGTAATGCCAACTTTATTCAAATGATAAATATTTTGAATATAATTAAAACTTGAAAGTTCTAGAAGCACTACTTTGGAGAAACTGTTCTGGAATTCGGACACAAAGATACTTTTATATGTGTATATTTTTATGAAATCAGCATTCCATTTTTGTTTCACTAGAAGTCAGTTTCTTAACAATGCTAGGTATTAAACTTCAGTCTCACTACATTCCTTTTGCTGTGAGTGGTACTTCATCTCTAATGTGTTTATTATAAGTTAATATAAATTACCTTCAGGCCTTCTCTAATTGCCTAATGTCGCTATAATTTGTGTAGGTTTTTAAGTAGGAAATACATTTCCTACATATTTAATGTCCATTTTCCTTTCATTTACTATCCTAATGTTGTACTAATTTTTCCAGCAGTTTAATGCAAGATACTGATGATTTTTTAAAGTTAATACATGTCTTTGCCTTAAGTCCCATTCTAGCATGTTTCTGATCAGTAAGGTAAAAAAATCTGAGTAACTGAAGTATAACCATTTTTAGTTATGAAAAAGATATACTTTCTTCAGTCAGCTTTAATAGCACTTGAAGGGATCCACATTATGACAAATTTGTAAGAGAACTTGTAGTATACAGCCTTAAAGTTCCAAACTCCTTGTTCCTGTTAACCTGAGCTATGAATGTGTTTACCAGTAATCTCTGCACTGTGAAACTAAGGATTGGCAATACGTAGAAAACTCAGGAAGCTCTTGACTTACAGTAGATTGTGACAGCTTTCAGCCCTAATACAAGTAAATACCTACAGCTAGTGTTTGAGCTGAATTTGATCCTTATTTAATTTGCTATTCTAGGATATGGACTTACACATTTAAGACAATGTCTTTTATATTACTGTACTCATGACACAGTGATGAACAGAAGCAAATTCTGTATTTAATGGATGGTCTTTCTGCAGTAATGGAGATGAAACCACAGAAGATGTATTTGAGGCTCTCCGTTGCAGTTAAGCGGTAGAATACTTGTATGAGAAGTTACTGAATGTTGGCTCTCAGAGTACCCACTGTCCTTGTAATAGCAAACTTGATAGTGCACTATTGCTTCGATGTGTAATCTGACTGCTAACAGGCATGCACCTACAGACGTTGTGGACTTCAAAAGGAAGTCTGAGGCCTATAGGACAGGCCATGTTATTTGCTAAACTACACAGACTCTGCTTTCTGTACAGTAACTTTTTTGTTCCAAGAGAAAAGCCTTTCTTGAGAGTACAGTAACAGCAAGAGTTTTCTCTTAATGTATCTGTTCCGTCTGTACCAGGTGTAATTATTTGGAAGTAAAGCTTGCAAAACAAACCCTTCTTGTCGCTCTTAATACACTTTTCTGAATGTATTGTATTCTTGCTTGAACCTGTCCAGGACAACTTGATTCCATAGATCTGCTGCTCCTGCTTAAAAGTGACATCTTTTTACCTTTTGTACATTCTAAGTCTAATTCATTCTTGCAGTCCTGCAGATACAGCAACAGAACCATGTTTTAAGCTTCAGTCACCTAAAAGCTAAATATAGGTTGAACTGCTACTTCTGTTATGTTTAATTTCTAGTCAATGAGTGAAAAGATCTGTGAAGAAAACCTTAGCTAAATTCCTCTTAATCTTAAGCTGAGAGAGCAAAAAGCTTTAAAAACTAAGATTGCTTGCATTGGGGGCTACTAATTGTTGTAAATGAAATTGTTGTAAAACACTACTATCTTACTACTTAAAGCTTCCTTTAATGTTCATTTTAGCAAAGGTAAGGTTGAAACAAAACAGGACATGAAGTTACCGTGACTACAGTACTGCAGATATGATTCAGATAAGATTGCTAAAAGGAAACAATTAAGGATGAGAACCATTGTGCCTAAAGTCCATCTGTCTTTTCCCATCTGTCCCCTTTCCATGTAACATCATGGTTACCAAGCCCCCATCTGAGAAGTGGGTTAAATAAAGTTAAATAAAACTTAATACAATAGAAGTGTATTACTTGTGCCCTGGGAGCTGCTGTACCACTACTGTACACTAATCACAAAAGTGGCTAGTGAAGATAAAGGGGGGGTTTACATGCTATAGTAAATGAGACAGTATAGGAGTTATGTTGAGGTCAGGATTTGGTCTGAGGGAGACTATCAAGTACTTGAAAGAAGCAAAAGTCCTATGAAAAGCAGATGTAGATTATAGGTACAAAAAAAAAATCTTCATAATGCTTAACAACAAACATGAATTTCTGTACTTTTTGAAAGAGTAGTATCTATCATTCAATATGGAGGGAAGGTAGGCACTCATGGCTTATGTTTCAATTTACTGATTCATTTCAAGTATTAACATACATCAAGTAAGGGGGGTGGGGGGTCCTGTTAGCAATATTGAGCTCTGTAGAGTGACAGAGCATGCTATGTGATATGTATGCAAAGTTCCAGATGTCGTTTAAAATGAGGAGCAAAAATGCTGTCATAGCAAACTAGTGGGATTGATGAACGCTATGCATATTAGAACAGACAGCACAATGGGAAGGGGCAGAAGAAACTATAGCTAGGACACAGCTAACAGCTCACGTTACAACTCCTGCTTTCTCATACTGCAACAGACTTCATTAGAATTCTTATTCCTAAGCCTCTGAGATTGGGTACGAACATAATACTTGCAAAGGAGGTCTCTCTTCTGCCTTGTCCGTTGACCTTCATATTGCTGGAAGTGTTTGTTGTCTGATGCATGCTAGAACTGCATCTTTCAGACCTAGAGCAGATTTGTGACCATCGTTGATCACAAGATAACTTTCACCTGTCACTTCCAGATAGCAGTCTTCAGCTTTTTGTAAAAAGTCACACAACAAAGCATAAACAAGTGTTCCTCCGTACACGGGGAGATCACAGCTACCTAGCCAAGGTCCTTCAGAATTCTGTCTTGAGACAATGTTCCTCACCGCAAACTCTATAATGATTAATGTAATGAGTTAGCACATAATTCTCCCTTTCCTGTGGCCAGTAACAGTCTGTTTTCATAAAGCCTAGATGGACCTGTGAGACTGCATTTCCCACTTACAATTCCTATATTCAGAAGAAAAGGGGAAAGATGGATGGGGGGTGTATAAGAACAGGCACCATTTAGCTAACTGCCTTCAGAGATCAGGCAGGAGAGAAAATGCTTTCATTTTACCTAACTTCCTACTGCGTACTGGCAGACAGAATACAATTATCAAAAAACTCAGTTTCTAAAAGTGGTAGAAACTCCTGGCACTAATCCTTTATTTTTGCCAAAACTTTTCTTACTGCCACATATATGATTATTTAACATAAGTATTTCCTCAGTGAATCTTAACTGTTCGTATTTTTCCAACCATCATGCTACTGGGGAGGAGGCAGAAAACAGCATAACAGCTCCAACTTACTGGCTCCTTATCATATGAAAGAGAATGCTTTACCTCAAGTGTGTTTCTGTTGCTTTCGTGTATAAAGCAAAAAAAAAAACAACCCCAAACTTCAGTTGATTTACATAAGATTACATGATGCTATCAAAATGCTGTACAATGCAGTTTTTATGAAATAATACTGCAAAGACAAGTATTCCCATCTTCACGTGCCACACTGCCAATAAAGGTAACCTTACTGCGATCATCTGTTTTCTTCTGAATCATTTCAAATATACTCAACAGGCATCCACACTGCATCATTCCACGTTTTATTTAAGGTAAATATTGCAACCTTTATATCATGTTCTTTTTCTCATGGAATATTTTACAGTGACAGTTCAGCAGTAAGCGTAAACTACAAAGAAATAATGACTGACTATACATTTAAAGCACATATACATGTGGTCCCTTTAATTATACAGACTATGCAAATGTACTTTCTAGAACAGCATGCCACTTCCTTTGGAAATTACCTTTCAGACATTAAAAAAAAAATCCAAGAAGATAGCTTATACAGATTTGCTGCAAAAGGAAACAGACTACTTAAAAGACTGTGAAACCAAACAAAATATTAGGTACGTACATGCCAAATGACCCATGTAAAAATTACTATTTTGGAATGATGGTAAATTTTGCAAAAGGGTCCCTAACCACATTTTACAACGGAATGGTAGCCAGACGGGCCAAATAATGCCTTTCTGAAACCTCAACAAATAGTGTTTCATAGTTCAAAGATCATAGTCTAAATACATTTTGAAAAAGAAAATTTCAGCACTTGCAGAGTGGGTTTAAACATGTAAATTTAGGTTTTTTTCAATGTGTTAATTAGAATTAAAGTCAGGGCAGACACAGCTATTCTGGTCTACTTTATTAATTCATTTCATTGATGCAACACTGCAGCTAAACATGTAATGCACTAAACATCTGGTAAATTTGCAATTTTAAGCTTTAAAACGTCAAGGTTTTTTTTCTCAAAATTTCCTGAAATACTGAGGACAAAGCTTTGCTGAGATAGTCTCTTTTCTTTTTATTTAGCACTTTATAATACATACATTACACATTACAATATTAATATAGACCTTATTTAATACCATGAAGAGTAAAGTTAGTCTGGTTAGTCTGCAGAGTAAGTTCTCTAGCAAAGGACTGTAAGTAGAAAGGTTTATAACAAAATTAACCTCTTAGGCCAAACAGTCAAGAATTCCCTTTTGCTCATATTAAATCACATGACTGGAGATGTCTTGTTTTTCGATCTGATTTCCTCCCACCTTGTATCAGAGGCTTACATTTTGCATACTCATTGACATCCACATGTCTCAGTTTGTACCTATTCAGCCCCTGACATTTTTAGACTTAGTTTTCATAACACATAAAAAGAAACTTCTTAAGATAAACATTTTAACCAGAGAAGCTTGGCTGTTCTTATCCGTATCAGGGAAAAACCTAACCTTCTTCAGCATCCAATTTGCCAATCTTCAGAAAGATGAATATCAAACATGCTGAGAACTAACCAGAAGAACTACAGTTCAAATAATCATGAAAGTATGGAAAAAGCACTCACTCGGAAAAGTTACTTATTCAGCTTAAAAGGTGTTTCTTCCCAAGGAACTGTACTTTCCTTTCAAAGGCACTGGATCGAATAGGAGAATTGAGTTCATAAAATGGATTCATTGCAAACTGAGGAAAGAAGAAAAACTCATCAATAAGCACAACGTCCAGCACTGGAAAATGTTACTTACTAGCTTTCAGCCTATTTAGTGCCACTTAAGAGCATGGAGCTCCTAAAC